TATATATATATATATATATACACACACGAATATTATATTGTGCGTATTTTTAAAAAAGGTAAAAATATATGTGAACCTGGTGGATCCCATGATATTATAACATCAAACTTCTCGGTGAGTCGTTCTTCCAACGCTATCCGAATTCTTTCGTAATTCTTCTTACCAGGAATGAAGTTTTCATTTGTTAGATCAATTCTCACTACTTTTGATGTACATTGAAAATAGAAACATAAAAATTTATGTAAAAAGATATAAGGGAAAGTGGGATAATCGTGCGCTGCGGGTAATTGTGCGCATTTTGGTTTAGCACTTTTCCGATAAATGGAGTAGCTACCGCGGCAAAATTTCTAGGCTGAACGTAATTCTTTTCAGATATAACCATAAATTATATAATTTGAAAATGTAATTAACACCAAAAATGAGAATAGATGAAATTACATATTCTGATAGTAATTTTGACATCCAGAAAATAAGATGGTAAGTCCGTATTCTTATTTTGTTTATTTAATCATACATACCTTACTAAAATATATCATTATGTGCGTCTATTGAGTTATTATTCATTGAATTAAGTTAAAAAGTTTTGGAGTAATCATTTTTCTTATTAAATCAATTCGCGGTGAAAAATTGTGCGCATGTACAATTCAAAGTTTCCTCTCAATGAAAAGTGTACTATTTGCCAAGAATTCGGAAGATATGGAACTGTGCTCAGTCGATAAATTAAAAGTAATATGATATCAATGTTGTAATTTCGTATTCTAATATAAATGTAATATAACGTTCCAAGTTATATGTATAATAGCCCAGGAACACACCAAGTCGAGAGAAAGTCAAAAGAACTTTCTTTGATGTACGTTGTGCAATTTTTGTTATAATTAATTTTTCTAATTTCTTCTGTATAATTTTTTCTAAGTTTCTGTATTAATATTAGTATAATAACATATTTATTCATTTTTGTATCAACATTTCATGAAATATCAAAATGATTTTTTTGTTGCAAAATTTGACCGTTTATCGACTTTAAGGTAATATACTCGCGACAATACCATCCAAAAGTTAGGTCCCATTGCTCGCTCGGTGACCGATACTCCCACTCTCGCCTGTGAGAGAAAACTTTTGATTGCGCCTGTTCACAATCGCGCAAACGCAGATTAATGGCGCGCAAATGTGGCAATGTCGCACTGTCAATGACATATAAGTCTACGTAAATAGATTATCATAAATAGGAAAAATATATATCCCTTGCAAGATACATAGGTTACAATGTCAGACTGTAATCTCAGCATCCGTGTAACCTCGCCATCATACGATGAACCCCGAACACTGAAATATAATACCTACTGGAATGCGCGCGAAGTCTCGTTTGTTAGCAGTGATCCGAGAGAGAGAATTTCAAGTGATAGAGTCCCTATAAGAGAGTTAAGCATGAAGGGCGACGCCCTCGTGATTGGTCGCCGCCATTTCTAGGCGCTTTCGATGTGTTAGTGAATCTGTGAATTGGTGTGAGCAACTGTTTTATGGTATAATAGTACAAACAGGCGCGAATGCGTCTATTTGTGTCACGTATTATTTGTGCTGTTTCCGGCCGGCCCCCAGCAATGGCGTCCATCCGGTCTTATGTCTTGACTCTCTTATAGGGACTCTATCAAGTGATATCTTTGTCCTTTTCGAAGTTATACTGCGCATGTGTAGTAAACAGTAGTGAGGCTCGTACAGTTTCGGGAAAAGTTAAAATTAATAATATACGTAGCATGCCAAATGTCAAATGTATGTTGAATCTCGCATAACCTAATCTGTAAGAATTAAACTTTTGACAATATTGTGCTAAAAAAGGACAAGGAGATACCACTTGAGATCCTCTTTGTCGGATCGCGAAACTAGTGCCAGCGCGCGTTCCAGTAGGTATTATATTTCAGTGACTCCGAACTGAACGCGATATACACGAAAAGTGCGGTGTTGCCACATGTTCACTAACCGCCGCCTTCAGTCGCTTCCATATGCCAAATAAAATCGAAAATTGCATTCTTTTCATGGCTCTATTTTCCAAACAAAATGGTCGAAAATTATGGAATTTTTTTACAATATCCGTTTTAAGTTCCTCTATCACATATTCGTTTTTTGTTAACATCTCATTACTAATTTAGACCCTACAAAAATAAACGCGACATTTTCATGAACTTTATAGAGGCGACACGTATAAAGTGCAGTTTTTAATTGCTTATATTTCAGTATTGAAATGGTCGATCCCATCATAATCGCATAAGCGTGTCAACGTCATCTAGTACAACATATAATTTCAAATTCAAGTCATTCTGAACACTTTCAATTCGCGAGTGTACTACCTTAAGCATCAAAATAAAGTCATTTTGACGTCATTTTGAATTTGTGTTGACTTTTGTGTATTCCTTGGGAGTTACATTGTAGAGTGCGAAATAATTATAACATTGGGTGCATTCAGAACGACAACCGCTCACTGAGCGTTCAGTAAGCTCTTGTACCTGGTTGATCTGTATGTTTAGATTTAATAGAATATGTCAATCAGAAAAAGCTCACTGAACGCTCAGTGAGCGATTGTTGTTCTGAATGCAGCCATTGGCTGCATTCATCAGAGAAAACAAGGTATGTTATAGAGCATGAAAAAATATTACATCTATATTTTTTTGTTTGTGCTTATCTCGAGGTTTAGGGGATGAAACACCTCCTCAAAAAAAATCGTTTTTTTTTCTTCCGAAGCGAATATCATCGAAACTATAAGAGGTAGAAAAATTTTCAAAATAAAAATTGAATGGCTTTAAAAGTATTTTAAAACTATAATAAAAAAAATTTTTTTTAATTATTTATTATACCTGCGCGCCATGCATCTGTATACAGGGTGGTCAACTTAAATCGATCATCTGAAATATTTCGCTTATTTTTTATGATATAAAAAAATGTTTCAAATGAAAGTAGAAGAGTTTCGAGGGGGACGTATTTTGGTCATGTTGGTTTTTGAGGCGTCAAAAAGATATGAAGGTTACCTCCATTTTTCAAAATGGAATTGTATGATTTTTTGACATAATATGATTCCTCTAGAAATTTAAAATGCCTATTACGGTCGAAGCTGGATCTTCGTTGCTTTAAATAATTCAATCTTGAATTACTAATATATACTATACAGGGTGTCCATTAAGTCGCGGACCGGGCTAATAACTTGAAAGAAAAAAAAATTTTCTAAAAACGCCGAAACACGTC